ATGTGTCAGTGTGGTGTTCCCTGGGGATTTGCGGGACTGGTGACATGGGCTGTGGTGGTAATGGCCTTTCACAGCCTCCCGCTCCCCTGGCACACACACACACCCACACACACGCACACACACACACATATAACACTGACAAGCCTCTGTATGCACAAAGAGAAATAGTGGATTGCAGACAAGCAGGGTAATACCTGTGAGTTGTATGTTCATTTTTATTTATCCATTGCCCAATTTACGATCCTTCTAACATGACATTTGATAAAAACAAAGCATGTAGAGTTTGCATTTACATATTTTTATATTCAGGCATACAAGTCATATTCATTTCATATGCTTGTGTATGTTTTATATACAGTAGACACCTCTTTCCATTTTCTGTCATCCCATTCTCCTTGCTGCTCTATTACCATCCTTATCCCTTCATCATGCAGGCCATAAAACTGCCCCTGTGTCTATGTGCATCAGAGCCATGCATGCTCACTATAAGAGGGTCAGCTGTCTATTTGAACTTTGAATGTCTTAACTCGATACGATGGGCCATTTATTCTCACTCTTTCCTCTCTCTTTCAGCAATGCTTCCCCTTGCCCATCCTCCTTCTTTGTCTATTGCTTAGTATTTCTCTCTAAGGACAGTAAATGTTTTAACACCCCATTCTATGGACCATTCATTAAGTTAGTGTACTTTAATAAATAGTCTGACATGTCAATGCCTTGTGAATTAGTAGCACTTAAAACCCACCACAAGTGGCCAATAGCGTGCTGAAGCCTGATGTGGCAGCCACATGATGACACAATGTTTGGAAATACAAATAAAAACGCTTACCCAACCCAAACTAGGAAAACAATATCTTTCAGGCCACCACAAATCTAGGGGACCTTCTAAGAATAAAATAAATATCTATTTCTTCCCCAAAGCAATCACATAAAGCTTGTGGACCACCATGGAAAGTTTCAGACACTATTTTCTGACAATTATTACTGTGATGGGAGACCTCCAAAACACCAGGTTCCACACAAGGGTGACCATTTATAGATCGGTTGTTTTATTTTAACCAAAAAATATGTCGGACACACATTATAATGTGTCAAGGGCCTCTTTATAACATAACAAAATCAGTTTATCACATTCGATTATCTTCCTATACATTTTGGGGCTTAAAGAAATCTGAACATATCATATTTTAAAACAAATACCTTGACCCCTCGTATAAAGGGGTGGGGTGTAGAACGAATATAAAATGCATTCACCAAAACAGCGGCACCTACTGATTCCAAGCAACGCAAGTTCCTGAAGTGCCCTGAGCGAACATCGTAGTGCAGGAAATGTGATTCAGACAAAGTGGCAGCAGGTGAGGCTGGATAATTATGTGCATGTGCATTTTGGAGGAGGCAGGAGGTTAATTCAATCGTATAGAAATCGCAGCGTGCTGAGGATTGGACAGCACAGCCCCGAGGGTGTCACTGGCCTCAACCCCAACAGGGAGCACCGTGCACACACCACCACACAATGCAGAATATATTCACTGACCTCAGGGTATGTAGTCTAAACACTAGAATTGTTTTTGTATCTTATTTCAGGTGCATTTTCTTTACAGCCAAGGAGAATGAATAATACGTATGGATTAAAAGTTGCCATCTATATATAAAGAAGACATCCAGACGTTTCAGTTGAATCTGTAAACAAGAAGAGTAACTAGCCCTATAAAAGAAGGCACACGATATATTTAAATTTAACTGATCATGAGCTACAACTGTCTGATTCTTCCTTTGGTTATTATCTACAAGCTCAACCATCTTGTATTTTTAGCCTTTACACACAAACACAGCCAGATCATCAATTTATTCAACTCTTCTAATCAGCAGCAAGGCCAAAGATGTCTCCATAAATATTCATGGATCATTGGAGATTCTGAGCGACGATACATTAAGATACGGCCAACATTTACCTTTTACAGCCAATGTGATTAGACCAGTAAGCGCAATCTGATCAAAGTTATTTTAAAAAGAAAAGAGAGAGATTATCCCTTGCGTGTAATAATATTGTACAAACGTCCTGTTAATATTATGTCGATAGTGGGGAAAAATACACAGTTAAAGCTGGAGTACGGTACTTTCAAACCACAAAAAATAATTAAATTACTGAGTGGATAGCCCTCTCAGTTCGTCCTCTGCATTTGACCCATCCTGATGCCACAAAGGTTTTGGTAGATGGAGGATTTTACATATTTTACATGTTTTTAGTGGTAGGAGAAACCAGAACACCCAGAGGAAACCCTACGCAGACATGGGGAGAACATGCAAACTCCACTAATATCAGTTCGGTTCACTTTTTTGCATGCGTTTACTAATTTTGTCCTCTGTCACTTCTTTAGATCAGCTTTTTCAGATGGAAAATGTAAAAAGAATGGACCACCCTCACTCAGCTTTCAGCCCAAAGCGTCAAATAATGACTCACAGGGCTCTTTTATGCAAAATATGCAAAATATGACACGCTTTCTAATGAGATGAAGACAGCATGTTGGGATCGGATTTGCTCTCAACATTTTACTTTTACACAATTCTACACAAAATATACTATATTAATGGACAAATACATCAAATACATTGTTTTGGACTCTGTGAAACTTCTGAGGACGTTGGAAAAGACCAGTAAAAAATGCTGAGTTTTTCAAAAGTTATTGATATTGTACAGGTCTACTCTGATAAAGAAGATTTGAGTCGGAATTTCTCTCTCATCCTTCATGTTGACTGTGGTTTGTTTAGATGGTTGTGGCTCTCCTCCTCCACCCTCTCCACACTACATTACTCCTCTCGCCCCCAGCCGCCTCTGCTCGCTCCCTCGTCTCCTCTCTGCCTGCTATTGATTAGAAGGCGAACCTCTAATCTCCTTAAGGTCATTAGGAACACTTAATTAAAACCTAGTTAGAATGCCTTTGTTCAGGCAAAGCAAATTGCAGCTGTTCAAACGCGATTAGTATGATAACATAAAACTTGTCGGCCGGGAAAAACGTGTCTCTGTTAGGTAGCGCTGTTTACTCAATCTCCTGCAAAAACATTTGGAAAATCTGGATTCGTCTTGTGTAGGACCAAATCATGTATTAAATTGCTATTGGTGTTTTGCCTGAAAGTTTAGAGATGGAGGCAAATATTTAGATTTTGTTGGCCATTTCAGAAATTATGATCATTCAAAACTGTTTTGAGTAATTGTGTAAAGTCGTTAATTATCAAACAGTCGTGTTTAGTATTTTAACATTTTGATGATGGCGGCTCACCTTCAAAATGTACAACTCTCTGTACTGCCCATTAACATCCATGGCCCATTCTTCATTGCAAAGTAGAGGGTTCCTGTAAATTCCTGGTCTATATATGGCTTTACACAACTACGTACAATGAGTTTTTGTGTTATCATTCATAATCTATATGTACTTTCAGGCACAACTCAACTTGGAAAGTTGTCTCTAATCAATGTTATCAAATATAATTTATGACATTCATTAATATCTATTGATATAAAGCAATAGGTCCAAGATCCCTCAATGGCAACTTGCCCAAATTATCTTTGGACTGGAAGAAAACACCAGGAATAAAGTGTTTCTGTTGGATTCATGATTGTGGAGTGGTGCCATGCTTGGCACTGTAGCATCATGTACTTTGTTTGTATCAAGAAATAAAAGCACACAAATTCAAGTTTAGACGGATGTATAAGTCGTAGGTCAAGCCAAGTGTGTATAATAGCTTTAAGCAATAGGATTATCATGAAAGAATTGCATAGCAGCTTGAAACCACTACAACAGACATCTCACATGACTTTTCAATTATGTTTATTATCTGATATATATATTTAAAAAAACGAAAATTGTATTATCTCAATATATTATATACCCAATGTTATGATGTAGTAGTAGTTTATTTTCTTTGGTCAATATGTGCATCAAATCTCAAGTCGCATGTTTTCAGATCACATATACATTATACAACTAGAAAAAAGGACCTTAGTGCGAAACAATGTGGGGGATTGAAAGTATTTTTGTATAATAACTATGTTCTTTTGCTCCATTTCAGTGCATAGTCTTGTTTGTATTTTCCTTTCATTATTGTTTTTTTTTTTTGGTGTACTTTGGTATTTTGTTTTTTAAATTATTTTATTATTGCGGCACTTCTTATCATCACCTCTAATTTTGCATACAAAAACAGTGGAATAGGCCTCTAACAGCGATTGGAAGTGCTTGCAATTGTTGATACAATTAGGACTAATAATGAATGTAATGGTATTGATCATGAGTTGCCTGCTAACTAAAGTAATGCAATTTAATGTTCTAGAAAAGTGTTATTTCTGCATTCTGGTACATTGAACAAGCAAAATAATAAGGCTGCCTTTGAAACATGAGATTTGCACCACTGGAGTACCACAGCTTATACACGATTTCAACCACTACTTACCAAGAAACAATCATTGCTTTTGTTTGATAGTGTTTGCCTACACGTCTGTAAGTGTATCATTATTATGCATTATGACGCGGCCGTGTCATTAGATAGGCGCACTTTAGCCCCGTTGCCTTGGAGACGCCAGTGGCTTTTTGCGCTCAGAGAAACACTTGTGGATCGAGAGGACGTGAGCGGATCTGCACACTGACAGAGCCAAACATTTACATCAGCATATCGCCTTTCAGAGGGATCTCCTGGACTTCGGCGTGTTTGGGTTACTTTTTGTCTGCGTTTGTCCCTGTGCGCTGTCTGCCAGATGGCGTCTCGGGCTATAAGCTTCTTAAAGCCGCATGTTGTGAATGAAGTGAGGAAAATTGCACCGTCAACCTGTTGAAGCCACAGACTGTGGGACCTGCAGTCTGTGGTTAGTCTGCCCTGAGCTGGAAGGGACCGTATGGACGTCACTGTGTTGGTGCGTGAGGAGTTAACCCTAACGCTTGCTCATTGAACATGTGTTTGTGAGAGACCAGCAACAAGTGGACTGTAAATTGATGCTTCACCTGTGATGGAGCATGCAGGCAAAACGCATGGGAACAACGACCATAGGTATGTAACTGAGTAAGCCTTGGCTCAATGTTATCTGCCTATGTGATACTCAAATACTAAGGCTTACAATTTAGGGCAAACCTAACCTCTTAGCTAAACGAGCTAGTAGTTACCATAGACTGTAACTGTGTGGTGGTATGTCTGGGCTGATCAGGTTTTTCCCATGACCCCTCTGTACAAAACACCCATGCTCTTTGTTAAAAATATAGATTCATTTAAAGTAATGAACAAGCTTTTATTTAATCCTCAATTTATAACAAACTGGTGGGAGCTTTGTAAAGCATTGTAAAGCAGATAGCAGTGAGAGAGAGACATTCAATAGAAACATGAAAGGTGAAAAGTGTTGTGTCAGTAGCTCCATCAGACTGTACACGGTATGGCTTTGGCTCTGGAATAGCCTGCATGGATTTTTACTTTCCTCAGATTCATCACATGTTGATTTTTGGACTGACCATATCTCCCCTTCCTTTTCTCTTTTCCCCCTCTCTCTCCCCTCTCTAGATGGTGAAATCCTAGCTATCATGTGAAGCTTTGACTTGGACGGGTATGTGTGTGGGTCAGCGGCATGGGACTGAGACAGAAAGTTAAGCTGGGTACCCGAGGGGGAATGGCCTGTAAAATGCTCCGATAACCCTGGACCCGTGACAGGCAGGATGTGGCCAAGCCCTGTTGGAGGGATCAGGGGTAAAGATCTGCTTCATGAGGAGCCTATGTCCTCCTGGAAAGATTCTAAATCAAAACGTAAAGTTCGAATAAAATGGAAAACTCTGAAGACTGAAATAACCATAATGAGTCCAGTCAAAAGTCAAAGAAGGAGTGAAGAGGATAAACGCAGAAGAAATATGAAACAAGCAACGATGAGCCCTCAAAAGCAAATCAGCGTGGGCAATAAGCTTCAGAAAGTAGACTGCCAGTGGAATAAAGTAATCACATGTGTAACAACAACAAAAAAGAATCTGAATTTCTTTACAACCAGACTGGCAAAACACAGTAACATTTATGACAAAAGAAAAACTAAGAAACATATCAGTTATCCCAGTGTTTTGAAAAACCTGCATGAATATAAAGCAAAAAACAACTGGATCCTTTCATTTCCCTGGTGTCAAGTCCTACTGCTTCTCCTGTGTTTCAGGCCTACTTTTTCCCAGGTAAGGCACTCACAAACAAAACAATAGTCTAAAACTTTACTAATTGTTTGTTTTACTTCCAGGGTCATTTTCCACGAATGGAGAATATTGCTGCTTTTAAACCTGTGTCCATCTCCCCTTTTCACTCCACTTGTGGTTATCCTGAGCGGAGCAGCTACTGTCAGTCTGCAGCTTCACAGAGCGAGCTCCAGGCGTGCTCGCAGGCTTCCTGTGTGCAGGACTGTCTCTATAGGTCCTCCACGCCACCATATGCCCCTCTGCTGCTGCCTGCGCACAGGTTTGTTACTTCATTTCTAATCTAAAGGTTTGTGTATCTAATTATTACATTCTGAACAGGACTCCCAAATTATAAAAGTGTAAATGTCTGGTACACAGCAAAAGTGTTGCATAATCATTTTTTAGACCTTTTCATAGTCCATAAAACAAGATGTTTTGTTTTTATTGCACACCAATTTTACTAACCTGGACAAAACTCAACTTTCCCAGAGGAAGCTGCATTACAGAAGACAAGAATGACTCTCATCCTACTAAGTCACAAACAGAGTCTGCTCTGTCCCTGGAGGATGGAGCCATAGGATCTTCTAGTGTGATATTCTGGCCTGAGAAGGATGGATGTTTGGTCTCCCCACCATCCCAAAAACTCGGTCCTTCAGGATCTTTCACGTTGGCAGTTTGGATAAAGCCAAACAGAACAGGAGAAATGTAAGTTATATTTTTTCCTTCCTTTTCATTTTGATTTTATTGTTTAATTGTATTGTGCGGTGTCTGGACAAACCATGTCACAATTTTGAGTCGCCTATCGTTTATGAACGAATGAGAGAAATGAGTTAATATTGTTCTAATAACACGGGGCATCCTGGTCATGTCTAGTCAGGTCTGCTTAGGTCACGATTGTGAGGCTGGAAGCCAACAATGTACCGTCATGTCTCACTTAACGTGTTGTATGAGAGCGAAAGCTGATGAGAGTGTGTTAGTGCGTCTCTTGCAGCGAGGGGAAGAGGTACGGTTACACAAACGAGTATCAGTTAACAATCTCTCACGTTCACACACTGGACACGTGTGTGCTCTCATAGACATCAGGGCCTTTACTTTGTACGAGTTAAAAAACAATGAGTTTGAACAAGTACACAACCAATTAGAATGAATGAATGTTGTTTCTTTTCCTGCTTCTCCCCATGTCATATCATGTCCTTCCTTTATTTGAATCACAGTTTAGACAGGATACATGGTCAGAATATTGTATGTAATAATTCATTTTTGCACATGAAGTTGAGTTTCCCAGGAGATTTTGATGACAGATGAGCGCTGTTGTGTGGTTCTGGACGGAACATGACTCCTGTTAGGTTGAATGCATCTGAGTGACAGAAAATATCCCTCCCTTCCCCCAGTTTGAATCAGTTGCTGTTGTTGCAGTCAGGCTTTTTGTTGCAGAAGTGATCACAGCGGTCATCAAAGAGCCAGATGAAAGAGGGTCTCTATCCTCACCTCTGTCCACTTTTCCTCAGCCGTTCCTCTGGTCTCTGCAGCGCGACTCTCTGATTTTACACTGCTTTCTGAACAATGAACAGTCAAGCACCTGTTTTACAAACTCACTGTTTTGTAAATAAATTAAATAACATCAGAGCTACTTCAAGCATTAGAGACAAATATATGATATTAAATCTCTCATTAAACATTTTGTAAACCTATTTTTAACTTGGGCCTGGTCCTGCACATTTGTGACATCGAAGGAACGAACATTCAAACGAGAAAGGCATTTCAAGTGCTTTAGAAAGCAACAAATATATATTGAAATAATAATGAAAACAAATATTCTGACTGTGAAACATTAAAGCTTTTGAAGAATTGTGTCTATGCTTGTGAATGAAAAGCCAGATTTGAGGTTTAAGTAAAATGTGAATCCATGGTATAGTAACTTTTGAATTCTTCCATATTTAAAATTAATATTTAATTTTAAATGTTGCATAAAAAAATCCCTAACCAATATTTGTTGTCATACAACTTTTCCTATTTGGCTTGTTGCACTTTAGTTACCACACATACAGAAACAGCTCTATTTCTCATGCATACATCCATATGTGATTTATTGTCTGAGCCGTTCTGAGTTCATAAAAGCCATGATTTCCCATAAAATGTCAGTGATGGTGGTTAATATGAGGCGTGGAGTGTGCGCGCATGCACACAGTGTGGCCGTGCAAAGCCAGCAGTCATGTAAAATATTGATATTCCATGTGTAAATGTCAAAAAGAGAGACTGTCTGTTGTGCTTCCCACGGCGGCTTTTAGTGAGACTTGAGTCCAGCGTATTAAGTATAACTCATGAGAGCCAAAGTAAACAATGTAATCACATAAACATTTTTAAAAGTCTTTCTTTACTTCATAAAGAATACATATGTTATCAAGTTAGTACCAGTCGCAAACACAGAAATCTCCACGTCTGGTCCGCTCTCAGAGAAAATGAAATGTTTTGTTGAGTGAATGTATCTTCAAGTAATTTATAGTGCCCTAAATTTACAGATGAAAGACAATTTATTATACGGGTTTGTTCACACTAAAGGGTACAAAAGTGTGACAGAAGGCCAACAATTTTATTTTAATTATCAAAAGATATAATTGTTTTTCATTTATCCAAATGCCTCCTCTGTCCATTAGTAGTTGCTCGAAGATAACTGTTATAAATTAGTCAAGTTTCCTGTAGCTGCCCTCTTTATTTTATGTAACGGACGTGATCCTTTGATGGAATGAGATGCAGAAGTTTGTTACATATTTTCAGATGTCCACATTTGATTAATAGATTTTTTTTTTTTTTTACACAGAGTTGAAACAAAGTGATTACTTTCATATAGTAAACCAATTAGATGTGATACCAGGCCATCATTTTCTTTTTTCTAAAGTTTAATTTTTAGAAAAAGATGGATGGAAACAATCACATCCGTTACACATTATTCAAGGGACATTTATATTTGTATTGATTATTTTTCAAAAATGTTCCTTTTTAAATGAAGTGATTTACTCATGTTGTGTTAGTCATGTTACTCATCTGCCGCTTTGTCACTAATGACCTTTTTTATACGTAATTGGCATCACAGTTGACATATCAAATCAGAGGCTGACCTGGTTGTTAAAAATTATGTATTTGTCAATCTTTTCTTTTGATTTTATCCACACTATCTCTGTGATATGTCTGTGTTTGAAATCTTTTTTCTAATCTATGATAGTAATTTTAGTTTTAGAGTTTTCCTCAGTCCAAATACTTTAGTCCAAATACTTTAATTGAACTGTGAACACACCCATATATTATTATTATTTTCTTTTGTTAATATATCATTTTATGAACATTCCAGCAATAAAATAAACAATTTAAAGTGGCAGACCCTCAAAGAAGTGTGTAATGCACCTTGAAATCATGTTGGATTGATATTGAGATTTCAAATCTTTCACTATAGACTATGACTATTAAACCTTACCAAAGCCTTGCATATGTTTAATCTTTTCTTTTGTGTGTGTTTTGTCAAGGATTTTACTGGAAATGAGCTCAGAGGAAAAGCTTACATTTGCAGTGACAATATCGGAACAAGCGGTCACTCTCCAACATGGAGAGAGAAGCGGTCTCGCTCTTCAGAGGGTCAGCTTCAGAACCAATGGCAGACTTTCACCTTTGAAGTGGACACACTTTGTTCTGCAGGTAATATTTCATTTGAAAATCAATTAATGCAAACTGTACAGGAACTGTACAATTGTGCTATAGTGTGAGAGCTGTTGCTGTTTGTTTAAAAATGCTTTTTTTTTTTAAATAAATTTGTCAAAAAAGTAACTAAATATAATTCTTACAAAATAGGTTTGCAGTGTTATTGAACCATATCATACATATTTAACTCGATTAAACTTGCACTGCATAATATACACATATATACACCATTCTGTGAAATACCCCTGTAAACTATACAAAAAATATATATGTATGTCAGTCCAAAATATTGTGTCCGTTCTCTTGGTGCTCATATTCGAATACTACCTTATCACAGCGCACACAGTCTCTTTAAAAAAAAAAAAAAAAAAAAAGATTACTAAAAACGCATCAAAACTCTGGTGGGATGGGGGAGAAAAACTCTAAGCTCTAAGACAATTTATGTTTACACAATTAAAAAGAAAACGAACTACAATTTTTCAAGTCCTATTATAATGTATTCATCTATATTTTCCTTTTGGTCCACTATGATCTTTGAACTGCATATCCAGTACCAGGCATGTGTCAGTTTGCCAAAACACAGAGATGTGTTTTAAGGGCCCTGAGCAATTCACACACGCAAACATGGTGCCAAGAGCAAGATACTGTAGGGATGCTGCTGCTCCCCAGGTACTTGTCTTATATGATTATAGTAACCACGGAGAGAACAGTGGAGGACGCACTCGCCTCAGGGAGTGAAGGAGAGGAAAGCTGTGCTGTGAAGTTAAAGTTAAAGTTAGTATGCCACTAAACCAAACACCGGACCCTCAAAAGTTGATAATTGAGCTTAATGGCTATGTGGTTTAAGTGCTCTGTGATCTTTTATTTGCATGTTATTTGTACCTTTTAGAGGCTGAAAATGGATACCAAGTAACACTTAACTTGACATTTAAACTGTGCGCTACACTGGTTTGCCTTTTAGTTTAGAGCCGCCATCACGTAGATATGAGGGGGGCATCTAAGATTACTAAAGGGCTATAATAGGGCTGTACAATACTGGACGCAAGTCCAACGGTGGTGCCAAGGATAAACAGGTTTGTTCTTTCCCCAGTGAAATAACATTTACCAAATAAGAGATATGTAAGATATCAACATTCATGTTAAGTTAATCACAACGTACACCAACTAAATATAAGTTAATTTGTTTTATAATTTGTCATGTGGTATAATGTTTCAAGATTTTTGCAGTGCCGAGTGAGTACTCCTTTTCCTAGCTGAAACTAGTACCTTTGATTAGTTAAAGAAAAAATAAGCTTATTCAATATACCAGGAATAATTCAAAATTATTGCTTGAATATTAATTAAATGATGAATAGAGTTTGTTTTCTAAAATCTATCAATTCAAGGTACAATAACTTTTCAGCCAAAAATGTGGTATTTTCTTATTTTTATTTATGTTACAACAAAAATAATTACTGAATCCTGATCTCTCCTAAATTAACATTGTTAATACATGCATGATAACTGCTCACTGGCATAATTTTGTTGATTAAATATACAATTGTGTGTCTGTCTTAAGTTGAGTTTCGGCACATACTCCGTAGGTGAGTGGTTATGGAGCATGTGAAGGTGAGACAAGGTTATAATTCCAGGGTGAAGTGCGCGCCTCTGTGCTGCCCTCAGCCTGCTGGCACTGAAGCCAAAAGGGCATGAGGCTGGCATCAATTACACAGTCAAGGTGCAGGAAATGAAGTCTTAACAGGCGAGAAAAATATAGCGAAATATCATCATAAAGCATTATTATTATAAAGCTTTATTACTATGCTCTTAAAATAATAATGACCATTGCCGTGTATTTGTGTTATACAAGTGTATTCTTTTGCACATTGCAAACCCTGAATGGTTGCAATTTCACAAAAAACACCAAGTCCTAATATTCTACAAAATAATCCCATAAAGAACCATTAACCTCAGCAAACACTGGATTCAAATTTTAACATTTAACAAAACGAGAACAAAGAGATCATACATTTAATTGCAATTCCTATGCTTGTAATAGAAAAACAAATGCAAACATATATTTTTCAAAATGCTGCCACATGCTATATATAAGGTGTATTTGCTTTGATTTTGCATCTGGAAGAACATTGTCCCGAAGACTTATGGTCTGTTTTAGAAATTTCATAGACAATTTCTGCTTGCATCTTTCTACAGCCCATCCATCTCCCCTTCTGTGCCTCCTATTTCATTGTCTCCTCCTCCTCCTGTGCTCCCCCTTTGCTCCTCTCTCTTCTTTCTCTCCCTTCTTTGTCTCCCTCGGGACAATTTTCTTTTCTTAAATAAACTGTCATAGCTAGTGTTAAAATATGGGCCTAACACGAGGCGAGCGCGGCAAGACGAAGGCACAGGGCCTTGGGCTGGTATAAAACATGGATAATATGCTGTGAGAGGTAATTGTATCTTTTAGCACTGAGATGAGTAGAACAAATGTGTCTCCCCTCCATCCTCTCTCTCCCCTCGTGTCTTCCCTTTGTCTTCCTTTACATAGCTACGTTAATGTGAAAGAGAGAGAGGATATTGGCCGTACATTAGAGTTCAGTTCGTAGTGAGTGAGAGAAGAATGAGGCACTAAAAAGGGCGGGATAGACGGAGAGGTTGAATAACAAGAAGCGAACGAGTGGTAACATATGACAGGATGAAAAGGAGGAAGAGGTGATGGCAGGTCGCACAAAGTGAAAAGATGAACTTCATGAATTTAGATTACAATGTTAAGTCACCCGCTTTACGTCTACATGTCACTCGTATGAAATATGATTGGCCTTTCGCAAAATGGAACGATCCAGATTTACCCATGTAATCAGTATATGTGGTGTATGGGCAGCTATTGACCTTGCTCAGACAAGCACACAGCATATTTCAGCTCTCTTCTTTCTGCATGGCAACAGTAATAAGTGGTTTCTGGAATATTTTTTGTAAATTCTACTTGTACAAAGGAATATGAGCATTTTTATTCATGTATGTTGTAGTCAATTACAGAACATGTGTGGCACTTGCATCAGAAAAGCTACAGCCGCCTGGAGTTTATAGAAGTGCTCAGGCCTTGCCGGTGTACTGAGCCATGCCTTGGCACAAGTGTGAAAATGGAGAAGAGCTTTAGTCCAAATGCCAGTCTCTAGATCACTAAAAGCTTTCCACCATAGATTCACAGGGCTTTTAGCAAGACTTTGGTGGCAACACTGCCTAATAGGTGCTTTTGTATTGAAACATAGTGCATGGTCTGAACATAAAAAAATTATCATTAAAAGGTAATTACATTAAAAATAGAAGAAAAAATACTTTTTTTTTTTTTTAAACATGAACGAAATTATTTGGCACCTTCTATGTCTCTACGCCATGATTCTAGTTATATTTTAAGTTAAAGTCATTCTTGGACGTTACATTTGGGACTAGAGTTTGTTTTATTGAATTGGGCTTTAGCCTTACATATATGTATCTGTTTTCTTCCTTTATGATACAATTTGTTATTATATCAAGGGAAGCTAGCCGAGTCAGAAAAATGAATCGGATTAAATACAGATGGCTGGCAAAAGAGAAAAGAGGAGGGCCGTGTTTGTGAAGGATAACAAAAGGGAGGTGGTTGTGTTTGAAAGGGGCACGTGGTAGCAGAGGAGGATGAAGTGCTTCAGGATTCATTTACATCAGGCCTGACAACCGCTTCACATCTCCCTGAGAGCCACGGCGCGGGCTCACAGACTCCTAAAGAGGAGCCTTTTCTCTCCTCTCACCCACTCCCTGACTCCTCTCGCCTCCTATCTCTTTGTCTCTTTCCTTCTTACTCACTTGTGCGCTCTCCTGTAGTCTCTTGTGCTCACATGCGCTTGCCAGTCTTCAATCAGCCATCATAAAAGTGCCTGTGACTATCCTCTGAGAGGCAGACACTTGTCTGAGCTGCCTTGAACCCCTGAAGGCGTTTTTGGACTTAGACTTATTTCCCTCCTCACACCTTTTCAACTTCTCTCAAGAGCTGACAACAAGTGAGTGCGACAGTGCAAGATAAACATGAGGGAAGGAGACAGGAGGCAAGATGAATGTGGAAGTCATGGATACTGCAACAAGAAAGCCATGATAAATATACTTAAATAACATAAAATATAAAGAAGGACCAAATGACAAAGGCAGAAAAAGTTGGAACTGAAGGAAAAATGAAGTAAATGACCTTCAAGTACGAGGAAGGACAAAGTGAGAAGGAGAAGAGCAGAAAAGTGGGTTTGGAGAAGGGGGGGCTCTGACGGGGACATGCACGTTTATCAGTGGTCTCACAGTGAGCTTCCCCATGGAAGGATTTGTAGATGGGCTACAGAGAAAGTGGTATGGGCACATTGAAGTTTTTGGGAAGCCCCTCTTATGGAAGTATCTCCCTTTTCCCTCAGGTTTGATGTAAAAGCAGCCTGGCCCAGCTTTGACGCTGTTTTCTGCTGTGCAGTTTTTAATATTCATGCAGCAGATCGGAGCGAAAAAGAGTGGAGAGGAGATTTTTGGTCAAACAGAAAGCTAATTTGCGACTGAGGCAGTTTAGCCTGAGGCTTTTTCTGCTACTAGGGAAATGAGCTGGAAGATTAGCTGTATGTATAATTCACACACTTCTCTCTTCTTCTCGCACACAAACCTGACACACACAAATGTTCCGTATTCAAAACACATAGACAAAATACACAACTGAGACATGGCCCTAGACCAGCTGCCACAAGATATGTTTTGGTTAGTTAGATTTTCTTTAAAGGCACACTGTGTAATTTTTAGTGCCATCTAGCGTTGAGATCTTATATCGCAGTCCAAGGTACTACGGAAGCCTGAGTTGTGCTCCTCAACTCTCAGTCATTCACAGGCTGCCAAGGAAAGAATACTTTAGTTTGATAAATGACCGGATCTCTTCAAAAAGTCTCGGGCACTTGACAGTCGAGTGGAGCCGACATGTAAACAAGACCGGATTCAGACGCGCACCCGCTGCACAGAGGCTGCACAGAGGCTACACAGAGTTTTACCATGGATCTACTATAATATATAGTTTATACAAACGCGTTGTAAATAGAAGAGACACATGGAGGACTAACGTCTGTGGGAGCTTAAAACTACGATGATCAAAGAAGCAGGAGATATACAGAGCCGCGGCAGGACATGGCTAAAAGCTCATGTTAGCATTAGCATTAGCCACAGCGCCCTAGCTGCATCACGGTAAGAAAACACAACATTTACTCATGCTGCTGATGAAGTATTCTGGGGATTGTTTTGTGGGGATTCTGTGCGTGTTTTATTTGAGGCTTTTTCCCTGAATAAGTAAAGTTGAAACTTGTGACAGTAGTTGGACTGGGTCAGAACATCTTGAGACTGTGTTGCAGATTCTGCCTCGTTCTCATTATTGTCAGTGTGAAAAAAGTTACGTACTGTTCACGTGTGAGTCTGTTGTGTACAAACTACACGATGTGGCTCCTGTTGTGTTATCGCTGCCTTTGTGCGTGTGGTTTGCGATGTTGACACTTTGCTGCTATGACGCTGGACTTTTGCATAATTATTTTTCTAAAAGATTGTTGTTCGAATCGTTCTTTTACATAACTGTGGTCCGCCATAACTGTGGTCCGCCAAAAAAAAAAATGGGGTTCTCATCCTTTTATATAACTGTGGTCCTCCATGTTTCCAATCTTCCAACTTGTGAAGGCACGGTGAAAGCAACGATATCAGAAGCTCATGTGAAACGAAAAAACGCAATTCTTCGCATTCCTTTTTGTCCCATAATCCCCACTGTTTTTCAAGAATGGCGCATTGACACGGAGAGCAACTCCTCTCTCAATGGACACTTATGACGTTTTTCCACAGTGTCATCAGGGCATTCGGTATGGTACGGCGCACACACTATTTTGCTTTTCCACGTAGTGGATGAATGGGAAATTTGAGTACATTATTCCGTACGGCCCTCGGCCGTAGGTTCCATCCCCATAGTACCCGTGCCATACGTCACTTCGGCCCACTGTCCTTACACTGATTGGTCAACAGAGTGTCGTCACGAATGCGGCATCTGAACCAAGCCCCGGCGATCCAAGATGGCGCGCCCTAGTTCAAATGAATGGTTGTGCTCAGTGGCGCTTTGTGACAGCATGGGGCTGAAAGATTAGCGAAGTTGCCTGAAACTCGCAAAGATCTATGGGAAACTCGCCTGTATTTGGGCAATCGTCTGGTCCTCCCGGTTCTGCGCAGTGGATGATCTCCCATAATGCGTTGCGCCAAACACGCGTGTTGGGTCTCACACCGGGTCTCACGCACGTGCACAGAGGGGCTCGGCCGCGCTCTGACCAATCAGAGCAGTTCATCAGAGCGGGAGTTAGAGCGAGAGCCAGAGGAGCAGAGTTTGTGGCACTAAAGTGTGGATTTAAAACAAAACCGAAGGATTTAAGAAGAAAAAAAGTTCAGGATGACAAGGGACACTAAAATCCCCACAAAATCCGATCTTTATTAAAGCTGTAGGTTCTCTGTCAGCTGAGGTTGAGCTGTTTTAATAATGAATGCAAAAGTTCTGGGTATCCCCACGAGAATTTAGTCTGGTTCTATGGGGAAAATTCACTTACAAGGGTATAACCCACTATCCAGAATTTAGTCTGGTTCAGCCATCTTTAAATCCGCAGTGCCAGCGAGAATCCCCTGAGCACGTGAGTGGAATTGCACAGTATTCAGCTACAAGCTAGTATTACCTCTATCCAGTTAATATAATAATCCATGATCTCTCTTGATCTCTCTGGCGTCTGTGACCTGGGGGTCACGTGATATCCCACTAGCGAAGTCCTAAGGGACTACGCACCTATTCGTAGAACTTAAGTTACATTAGGTAACTATTAATTCTCGATTGTCTGTTGTACACAGTGAGCTAGCTACATTTAGCTTCATTTAGCTATCGATAGCAAGCTAAGCTAACGTCCTCCCTGTGCTACTGTGCTTTATCCCGTATTATCTGCAGTATCCACGTGTTGTCATTCTGTTTTGTGCTTGTATTTAAGTTGTTGTGTGTATATTTTTATGAGAATCTCTTCCCATAAGTGTGGAGATTACCAACGAGTAATGAGTGACCGGGGTATTCTCATCTGGACCTGGTCTGGACCTGGTCTCTGACATACGTACTTTTGACTTTGTAAACTGTTGGTTTTGCACTTTACTTTTGTTTTCAATAAATCTGTGATTGTATCCCAAGACTGTGTTTCATTCATTTATTATTATTGTAGCTGAGGTTTGGGTATCGATTGTTTTTCTGGTCTCGGAGTCTGCTGTAGTCCGGACCCAAGTCCGGACTAGCCTAGCTTAGCCTAGCTTAGCCCCTAACTCGCGACCCCTATGGCTGCCGCTGTCTCTCCCTCGGTCCTTTACTGCTCGAGTTGCCATATGACGAGTTTAAACCCCGGATCCTCCTCTGATGGCAGTGATAGATGTGTTAAGTGTAAATGACGTGGTCTGACAACGCTGAGGACATACTGGGGGTACTATTTTTGATGGAAAAGCACGCGAACTGGGCCATGGCGCGCCGTGTAGAGTCAAAACGTACCGTACTCGGACCGTGGAAAAACGGCATTATAAGTTAAATTCTAAGCCTATCAATACAATTCAAAAAACATGGTGGAGGTAAATATTCTTTAAAATGTCACATTTGTTATTAGTTAACATGTTTTTTTCACATGGAACACTTGTAAAAATTACACAGGACGTTTTAACTTGCATAATTTCAGGTTCATGACACACAAGTGAGCCTGTTCCTCGATGGATTGGAGGAGGATGGGACACCTTTTGAGACGCAGACACTGTCCAAGAAGATTTCTGATACCAGCGAGGGTGACACCATGTGGGTGGGCCTCAGCTCCAATGGTAAAATTGCTATTGATTTTACTGTGAATATCATCACTAGTGTTAAATGATATAGAGAAATAGCTGTTAAAAATAATTACAGACAAAAAATATGAAATGAAATATATTGCTTCACATTAATTCACCATGCTACGTTTATGCCTATTCAGTGATACCTCTCTGATTGATTGGTGGTGCCTGTGAGCTGTCTCACAGTCAATAGAAGAGAAATTGAAAGAAAAATGATATCCGTTCATCTCCTGGGTGATAAACGAGTGTTTTTCTTCTCGTTTATCTGATATTGATTCTTAGTTCACGGCAGGTAGCATCTGATCAGCTGAAGATCACATCAGAAGTGCTGATCGATACATGTGATTGGCTCAGGGGAGGCAGAGTGTGTGGATTTATGTGTGTGTGTGTGTGTGTTTGTGTGCGTGGATGGGTGGGCGGTTGTTGAATCTAGAGGTTGTGTCTGCAATTTTGATCAGTGGATTGATTATGCAAATTCTAATCAGATGTATTGATCAACATCTAAATCTGCTTGGAACAGACCTTGTTAAATAAAAACTGTCTTTACATTTTTGTACGTACTCAATGACTCTTCAGTATTGTAGTTGTAACATTTATATTTGGTCATTTAGCAAATTCTATATAACTGTTTTTTTAACGGCTTTTGAGCAGCAATTGAGAGAAAACTTGAGGCAGCAGCGAGTGACAGAAACTGAAGACAGAGACCTACGCTGTGAAAAGAGAATTAAAGTCTTTACCTTGCATCATCCCAGTAACAATAGAGCGGGTGCTTTTCAAAGGAAAGAATAATCCCATTTCCACACGCTAAAGCAATCCAGTGCCAAAGCCTAAAGCTGCACAGCCACACACTACTGGAACACTGTTAGATCTGCTAAGTCTCTGTTTTACACTCATATAGACTCAATGTTACCCCAACACCACACACATGTTCAGAGTTGGGATTTACTCATCATTGCCAGGCCTCTCTTAGGCAAAAGCATGTTAAATACACAAAGTAGAAAGGAATGAGCGAACAAACAGCAATGGCACTGGTTCTGTCAATGTTTGGAGACATTATCCACCTTCTAAGAGTTATATTAAAACCTGACAGAAGTTTACTCATAGTATTTTGGGCCAAGATCAACCTCTTATGTTGTGAGCCTCCTTGATGCATGTTCCAATTCAGTCCCTGTATGTGTGTGTGTGTGTGTGTGTGTGTGTGCAACTATGCATTTGAAGATATGCCTGACTTTTTTCTAGATTTTTTTTCTATGAATGATATTGAATTTTACATTGACTTAGTATTCCAATCCATTCTGTAAACCTTTAGAAATTACCTCTACAACACTGAAATTAAGTTATGTAGCCTCAGACAGAGCCATTTAATTGGCTATGCGACATAGTGTTGAGCAGTTTAGGCAGCCTCACTCAGTAGGTACCACTGCACTGATAGGATAATCTTCTAAATACTTTGAAATCCTCTCAGACGATGCCTTCAGTACAAACCCATTAACAAGTTCTTTATGTCCTTTTCTCTTCTCTTTTCTTCTCTCCAGGGACCAATCAGTTCATTGGGCACATGCAGGACTTAAGATTTTATCCTGCCACTCTGACCAACAGGTGAGTTAAGTGGACTACAATAAAGACAGGGATGAATACTGTGGATGGTGCAAGAAGCTGATTATGGATACAAGTTACAATTCTAGATATATTTTCCTCTGGGTATATTTATCAATCCATGTGAAAAATGGGTGTTTTATTTGCATGATCATCTCAAATCACTTTGCTATAACCCTCGGGATAAATACCATATAACTGCACTTTATGTTTTTCCAGTTAATGAGAAAAATAAACATTTAAAATATTTACGGTTCCTTGTTTGAACAGAGAAATTGTGGAGCTGTATTCAGGAATCCTCCCTAATGCCCATGCACAGTCAGAGTGTCGCTGCCCTCCCAGACATCCCAGAGTCCACCCTTTAGTCGAGAGGTATAGTGATTGCACTTACAATCAGCACAATTGTATTTCACATGTGTTAATACTATTTTTTTAATACCATTTCCTTGACAGATACTGCATTCCTAATGCTGCTGAGGATACGACAAATGACAGAACTCCAAGACTAAATGAGAACGCCCACCCTCTGAGTTATTTAAATGATAATGACATGGGAACCAGCTGGATCTCCAAGATTTTTACTTCACAGGAGTTGGACGAAGGGGTCATTATTTCATTGAATCTGCTGAATGGACAGTACCAGGTATCAAAACAAACCTGCTCAACAGTGTGGATTCTATGTCTTTACATATCCATGTTTTTCTCAGGTCTTCTATGTGATAATTGAATTTGAAAACCTCTTTCCCGAAAAAATTGTTTTCCAAAAACGATATATTGATGTAGAAATGCCAAACGCAACTGAAGTGCCCTGGTCGGACTGGCAGTATATGGCCCGAAACTGTAGCATGTTTCAAATGGAAAATAACGGCCCCTTAGTCAAAGCGGACTCAATAAACTGTTTAAAGTTGCCCAGGTAAATATAACCATATTTTCAAGAGCTCCAGTCTGTATATTTTTCATAAGTTTTGATAAAACATGACTTACTGAAAGAATATTCATGAATTGCAAATGTAACTTTTCAGTGAAGTGCCATATTCTGGGGGAAGCATAACATTCAGCCTTCTGACCTCCGAACAAAACTTGAGACCTGGCTCCAATGACTTCTACAACACTCCTGCCCTGCAGACATTTGTATATGCCTCACAGGTCAGGGTTCATCTGATGGGACAATACCTCACCACAGAAATTGGAGTGAACCATGGACACCAATACTACGCCATCAAGGAAATCACAATTAGTGGAAGGTACAAATCATCACTGAATGTAGCAATTACATTTGAGTTTAAGTGTCAGCCGTTTTTTTAAGTTATTCTGCACATCCGCTCATTAGACTGACAGTTTTATAAACGGTGGTAATTAAAGGATTATGAACAAGGCAAGCATCTCCTAGTCATAGTCATCCCCTATGAGCAGTGCTAATTGGCAGCCTGTTACTGAGAAGTGGCCAAAACAAGATTAGTTACTGAATACAGTTACTGAAATATTTTTGAACCCTCATTCCTTACACTCCCCTTCCTCTTGTTGTCTAATCTTCATTGAGTCTCATTTTAGCAACATGAAGTTATGCAACATATGTTTTTTTTTCTTTTTCAGAAGAAGTCAGAAGAGCAGCACTTACTATTACTTTGATAAGTGTGTGTGTTTTTACACATGTATTATGTTGTGATTGCTGTTTCCTTGTCAGGAGTGAGTAATTGTCACTAAGGATTTGGGTTACTTAACGTCATCAACACAGATAACTTTACAACCACAAGCCATGAGCCGAACTCCAGCTGACAGTTCAGCTGTTACACATCTTACTCAATTTTCGTTGTTGTGATGCATAAACAAAAGTATTAGTATATAAACATTATTTGATATTTTTTCAAGGCATGATGTAAATAGAAATACAGAAATAGGATTCCGCTAAGAGAATCATGTCAATGATTAATTTGTTTGTTGTTGCAACCATTAAAATGTCAATTTGGTTGTGATAAATAGGCTTGCTTTTGAAATGGTTGTTGTCAACACAACCAACATGAGGCTGCAAAAGAAGGCCACACAGACCGACATACAAATACATAAAAAAGTGAATATAAAAATATTAATAATTCAATTTGTGTCACGATGCATGTACGTGTAAATCTGCGTGGTCAAATGAGGAAGGAGGCAGATGGAGCTGTCTGCTACCTGCTATGGGGCTGCAGTAATTCTTTAGATGGCATTTATAAATGTTGAATGCAGACGTTCTAATGGCACGATTGCAGTTTCACAAATGTTGAGGGGAAGAACTGGAAGAACGTTTGTGTGTAACTTTTTGTATTTAATTGCTTACTTCTTTCCTATTTTATCTATTTGGGAATATTGTAATTTGTACATAATTTGTATGTTTCTCCCAGATGTGAATGCCATGGACATGCGGACCACTGTGATACAAGTGTAACCCCCTATCGCTGTTTGTGTCTGCCCGAGAGTTACACAGAGGGCAATAATGTGAGTAAAATCATCACTCAATTAAATACATGCAAATCTAGTGAAGTGACCTGAAATCACAAGACTGTTGTAGCACAGTAGCACAGTACTAAAAGTAGACTTTGACGCTTCCAGAGTTACCTTCTCAGACACAATCGGTTTGCTCATTCATCGACATTGTTCAAACCTTAGGAAATTGATTGCTAATATTTAGCAATGCTCAACATATTCAAATCAATTTTTTGATTAAAAAAAAAAACAGAAAAGAAAAGATGCAATAGGAACAACACTCTGCACAACATTAAAACTACTACTAGTTAGTACGTTTTGACAATTAGATCCCTTATAAATGTTCTGACCATGTGCCTTTTTGCACCTCTTTTCATACATTTCCACATGCTGTTGTCCTGGTGCGTGAAGTCAACTGTATGCTGTGCTATTCAAGGGTGTTCATGTAAGAACAGAAACAGTGCCCACTACGCGATTAGATCCGGGCTTTAGGTGCTATGTGAGCAAGCAAGTGGGCTTGGGCACGATTGTTGCAATCGTGCCCAGGCACGTTTGAAGACTTGGACCAGGGCCGCCTTGTAAAGCCCAGATGAGGAGGGTCAGTGTGGCGGGTGGTGGGGAGTGGGGGATGAGGTGTGGTGGGGACTTGATAATGTGCGTCACATTACGTCTTCCGTTGTGACAGGCATTTTCAGACACGTCTCTCCTGCACTTTCTTCTCCACTTGTGTTAAACCTTTCATATAGGCCCCGGACTGTGGTCGAGGGGCGCAGGGGTATATGGTCCCAGGGCCAAAGAAAAGCGTTTCCTTTGGGAATAACTCCCTCTGTTCTGACCCTCGGTCTCAGTGTGGTGCTATTACAATAAGACTTCAGATATTCAAGAATCATACCAACACACACGCACGCATTCACGCATGCACGCACACACACACACACACACACACACACACACACACTTGTATCCTGCCCGTCTCCAGTCGCTATGCGCGGCGCGCACACACACACACGTATGTGCACCCACATGTTACCCACTGAACTGCTGAACTTTGATTCAGAGCAATGTGAACAAGTATGAGATGTGTCTTTCCCTAACCAATGCGACCCGTACTCGAGCTGTTAGCTACAGTAGCAGAGCGTAAACAGGAAGAGAAACGGAAAGTCAACCAGGACAACGTGGTAGTCGCTGGAGTTAGTATTAGCGCCACCAGCTGGACAGAGCATTGTACTACAGCACAGTTGCTCTGGTACGTTTGCGAATACACGTTTTTTTAGGTTTTTAATTTTCCTTCAATTTACATGGCTGATTCTGCTTTTATATGGTATTTTCCCACTTGGACTTCTGTTTAAAAAAATTTATTCTAACAATGGCATTCCCACAGCTTACATCTCTGATCAGCACTTCTGTCTGTTTGTCTTCCACTCTCTTTCAAAAAATCAAGCATCCACCAGCAATCTTTCTTGCTCAATATTGGATCTTCTTATTTGACTCAGAAATACACCCTTGTAAGCAATTTTATCCAGGTTCATGCAGTATGTAGTACTTTCCTCCCGACCAGCCCCTTTACCTCTCAGTGAATATTCAGTACCTTCTCTGTCTGTCTCCATAATATTGGAACATAAAAGGCTGAGGGGAATATTAGCTGTTAATATTGCATGTGTTCTGTTGACTTGGATCGGCCCTGCACCATGACGGATGTTCGACTAATCTGGAGAATTTCCACAGTGACATTAAAGTGACAGAAATGCTCAGACATGTGTCAAGATGATCAACGGGGGCCTGAACACAGACACTTTAACTGGCGCGCAGCCTTAAGCACACACACGTCCAGGCGCACACTCATTCTTCTACTTTCTCTTACTTCTCTTTTGATTCTTTTCCTCACATGCACTCTATGTCAGACATGATCTCTCACGCTGTCACTCTCTCTACTAGAAAGCTATATCATGATCTGTATAGTTTTTGTAGGGGCCGACTGATTTATTGGTTTGCCAATTAAATCGTCCAAAAGTCTCATTGAAATCGACTGAGATTTCACAGAATGCCGAAATCCCTTGTTGTATTTCAATACATCTGTTAATGATGACTGTAAAATGTCCATTAAGATCATAAACACAAGTAAAAAAAAAAATTGTATTTACTGCATGGAGAGTTCCAAATTATTTCTTTATTTTTATGTATTTGATAATATGCAATATATGTAATAATATGCAATTATTATTAGATTTCTTGCAAATGTATACTATGTCTGTGTTAGTGTCTGATCTAACATCCTAATAATATTTTTTTGCAGCAAATGAATGAAGAAGAATCCCAATAAATCTGGATCGGTATCTGCCCCGAAATAATCTAATTGATGATTCACTAAAACATTAAATTGTCACTTAATAATTTCTATCAAGAAAGGTTAAGCAACATTTTTGTGTTGTTATTTAAAGATGTATCTGTATATGTGATTTCTGGTCACTCAGTCAAGTACAATATTAAGGGTTTTTGATTCCTGATTGGAGGCCTTTTGTGTGGATCAATTCAAGATTTAGCTTAATAGTTTGAAAGATAGAAATGGGAGTGATTGCCGAGGTATTCTTTAGCCAGGCTGAAAGCTGTGTTGTGTGTGTCATACAAAGATATTGATGGCTAGTGACATTAAGTAGCATTGTCCAGGTCATGGTATTCCGGAGTTTGCTTGAACAGCAGATTCTTCCCTGCTCTGAGGTTAACCGGGTTAACATCTGATATACACAATACACACTCACACACACACACACACACACATAAACACTGCTGTGCACACCCTCCAGTGGCACGACCTTTCCAGTGAGAGCGTGAAATTGGTCACGGCATTTAGGGTAAGATGAGTTGCCCCAGCAGATAAACACAAACAGATACAGGTGCTGATGACAAGCCTTCTGAATGTCCATATATCCATTAGTCCAAGGAAAAGAGCCTCACTCAGCAGCTTTTATCATAAATATAAGATGTTGGCTCCACAAGCACAGTTTACACACAAAATATTACTTGCTCCATATTATAAATTGGACCAATTTTAAGGATGCAAATTGTGTAATTAAGAAAACACTTGTTTCACAGAATAAATATACTTTTAAAAGTATATTACATACAACTAGTACTTCCTGCGCTGTGTGCTGTTGATGGATTACCATTGCAATCCTTTTATATGTAGAGAGAATGAACGTGTGAGCTTGTCTTTTAACTCCCAAACACGAGTCCCTCGACTAATTAGCAGGCCAAAAGAGAAGGAAGGTAACGCAATGTTGAATAAAAAGAATAGAGAAGAAGGGATAAAAATCCCTTTCATTTAGTATGGTAATATTTCCCACTCACATACTCACAATGGCTGGGAGAACACACAGTTGGGGGACGTTAAAGTCATGGAGAAGTGGGTTAAGAACTAGAGGCACCAGAGTGTTGGTATAGCTTAACACAAAAGGCAACTTTTGGAAATGTTGAGACAATTTAGTAGCTGGGATTGTGCCTGCTAGGAAAACACAAGATGATTTTTGTTTATGTTTTGTTAATCGGTTAAATTAATACAAAGAAAATAATATGATACACCTAATAGTCTATGTATAACGTGGTAGGAGTGCTTCATTTGAATAATAGCTTCAAATTAAGCATATGAATCTGTAGGGATCTTGTTTCTCTTTCAAAAATAGTTTTCAATAGATAGTTTACAGCTCTACTGGGAATATAATTCAGTCAACAGCCAGTCACATGAAGGCTGAATTAGTTGACTTTCCATAGCTAATCAACAATAGCAAATCCACTAAATTCCGGAACCTGGACCACTTAAAATGGGACATAACCACCCCAGGACTGTAACAATCATATTGCACAAAATACAACATACCATGCATGCTTTCTTTTATAATCTATACAATATTAAGAGTTGATTTTATGCATGCACAGTGTGGGATTAACATTTTTAAATACAGACCACAGATTGTTTATTGTATTTTACATACATTTAGACGGGGCGACAGTAGCTCAGTTGGTAGAGCATTGGCCTTTTGAGCCTGAAGGCCACAAGACCTACTTCATGTCTCCCACTGATGTCTGCTGTCGTTGTGTACTTGGCAAGACACTTAACCCTACTTTGCCTGAAGCCCCCACTGAAAGATCAGGGCTCCTGTGGACTCAACACCTGCAGGAGGATCAGTGAGTGGCTGGTGCTCTGTGTACTGGGTGCAGCTCTGACTGCCACCCCCCCGACCCAGAAATGGATTAAGCCACACAGGTTACAGGTTGCAACATAATTTCAATATGTCTTCTTTATTACAATATAATTTCATTATCTATATAACATTTTACAAGGGTAGGCTTTTGAAGCCTCGAAACGTTCATTCGCAGTATTCCATTAAACTTTTTTTCATTACAATTTCACTATATTTTCTTTCAATATTTGACAACTATATGACCTCATGTGCTTTTTCTCCTTTTTCTAACCCATCCCCCTCTGTTTGTTATACATAATAGACTCAAAGCATGTGCCACGCATGGGACGAACTCCTGTGTTTTTAATACATTTTTAATCCCACCATTTGATGCCCCCCTTGTCCACCATAATTCGTACTGACATGGAACAAAATCAAAGCTCATACTCGCTGCTTTGTGTCTGCTTTCCCTATGCCGCAGATGCATTTAGCTCTTTTATACCTCTCCTAACACCTAGCTGTGCTTGTTTTGACATGAAAGTGGACCTGGCTAAGAATATGTCACTGCTCATTAGTGAGCTCATCTGCCTTTGTCATTATGTTGCTTTGTGATATTTCAGAGTTTTGTAAATACAAAGTTGAATATAAAAAGCTAAACTATGATAAAGATGGCTAATGATGGATTGTCTCAGTCTCAATTTACAGTGTCTTGCGAAAGTATTCGGCCTCCTTGAACCTTTCAACATTTCGCCACATTTCAGGCTTCAAACATAAAGATATAAAAAAAATTTTTTTTGTCAAGAATCAACAAGTGGGACACAATCGTGAAGTGGAACGAAATTTATTGGATAATTTAAACTTTTTTAACAAATAAACTGAAAAGTGGGGCGTGCAATATTATTCGGCCCCTTGCGCTAATACTTTGTAGCGCCACCTTTTACTGCAAATACAGCTGCAAGTCGCTTGGGGTATATCTCTATCAGTTTTGCACATCGAGAGACTGGAATTCTTGCCCATTCTTCCTTGCAAAACAGCTCGAGCTCAGTGAGGTTGGATGGAGAGCGTTTGTGAACAGCATTCTTCAGCTCTTTCCACAGATTCTCGATTGGATTCAGGTCTGGACTTTGACTTGGCCATTCTAACACCTGGATACGTCTATTTGTGAACCATTCCATTGTAGATTTGGCTTTATGTTTTGGATCATTGTCCTGTTGGAAGATAAATCTCCGTCCCAGTCTCAGGTCTTTTGCAGACTCCAACAGGTTTTCTTCCAGAATGGTCCTGTATTTGGCTCCATCCATCTTCCCATCAATTTTAGCCATCTTCCCTGTCCCTGCTGAAGAAAAGCAGGCCCAAACCATGATGCTGCCACCACCATGTTTGACAGTGGGGATGGTGTGTTCAGGGTGATGAGCCAAACATATCGTTTTGCATTGTGGCCAAAAAGTTCGATTTTGGTTTCATCTGACCAGAGCACCTTCTTCCACATGTTTGGTGTGTCTCCCAGGTGGCTTGTGGCAAACTTTAAACAAGACTTTTTATGGATATCTTTGAGAAATGGCTTTCTTCTTGCCACTCTTCCATAAAGGCCAGATTTGTGTAGTGCACGACTGATTGTTGTCCTATGGACAGACTCTCCCACCTCAGCTGTAGTTATCTGCAGTTCATCCAGAGTGATCATGGGCCTCTTGGCTGCATCTCTGATCAGTCTTCTCCTTGTTTGAGATGAAAGTTTGGAGGGACGGCCGGGTCTTGGTAGATTTGCAGTGGTCTGATACTCCTTCCATTTCAATATAATTGCTTGCACAGTGCTCCTTGAGATGTTTAAAGCTTGGGAAATCTTTTAGTATTCAAATCCGCCTTCAAACTTCTCCACAACAGTATCTCGGACCTGCCTGGTGTGTTCCTTTGTCTTCATGGTTCTCTCTGCGCTTTAAACTGAGACTATCAAAGAGCAGGTGCATTTATACGGAGACTTGATTACACACAGGTGCATTCTATTTATCATCATCAGTCATTTAGGACAACATTGGATCATTCAAAGATCCTCACTGAACTTCTGGAGTGAGTTTGCTGCACTGATAGTAAAGGGGCCGAATAATATTGCACGCCCCACTTTTCAGTTTTTTATTTGTTAAAAAAGTATAAATTTTAATTTCATTTCATTTACATCCCTTTATTTTCCATTTCTGGGTCAGGGGGGTGGCAATCAGAACTGCCACCCAATTCACATAGCACCAGTCCCACGCTGATCTTCCCGCAGGTGGTGGGTCCACGGGAAGATGGCTGCTCCTTCGACACACATGCGGCCTTGGTCTTTCAGCAGGGACTTCAGGCACATTGGGGTTAAGTGTCTTGCCCAGGGACACAACGACAGCAGACATCAGTGGGAGCAGTTGACATGGGTCATGGTGGGATCGAACCCACGACCATTAAAAGTTTAAATTATCCAATACATTTCGTTCCATTTCACGATTGTGTCCCACTTGTTGATTCATGACAAAAAATAAAAATTTTATATCTTTATGTTTGAAGCCTGAAATGCGGCGAAATGTTGAAAGATTCAAGGGGGCCGAATACTTTCGCAAGGAACTGTATCTGGGGACTGCTAAAGTCGATTCTGGGTGAGACTGGGCTGTATTAAGGATGCATATTTATTACAAGTTGTCCTGTCAACAAAATGAGTTCAGCTGCAGAAATTGAAACAAAACGACCAAAATCAATACATGTTTAGGGTTTAATAATGTTTACTTTAAATGCTTACAAATTCTGAAATCATCCGTGCATGTGTGTTAAGGATGTATATGTGTACTGTATTGTCCGATTGACGTTTAATGGTGTTGATTGATAGATATGTAGTTGTTTATTGAGCGTGGCTAGCTCCGCTAGCTCCGTTGGCTTCTCTACACAGACAAGTGTGCAGTGACAGGCGCTGATAGCTTGTTGTACTTGCAGAGTAATGGCAGTATTTTACACACCTGAATTACAAACAGAGGTTGCATTGGGGCTTTGGTCATTATTGGTTTGAGAGTTCTGTTATCAAGAAAAAATGATCGGAAGAATTGCTGCTGCTGCTTTGAGGAGCTCTATAACAAATTATAATTAAATATTAGAATATATTCTAAGGTTTTAAATTAATACATTCGGATGCGAAACTAGCGGTATTCTTTTACTTATATATTGTGTTAGCAGTGCGTTACTTTAGTACCATTTCATCAGTGATTGTTGCACCGTTTACAAGAAGTTGCGCTAATGCTAATGTTAGCATATGTATCAGATCGCAAATAAAACTAGGTGGCTCCGTGTTATGAGAGCGTAGGGGAAATGAGAAGCCATTGAGCGAGTTGGGGGGCGGTGCTAAACATTCAAACATTGCAGAAACGGGTATAGCGCCTTTAAAGCTGCGCTAACTCACTTGGTGAAATTTTTCAGTGTGAGCGCTGGCCTCCCTCTTTTGCTCGCCCTCCCCGCACTCACGGAGCTACTACCCCCGCCCAGCCCCCCTTCCCCCCCGATCGCACATGTGATCATTCTATGATCACGTGGCGTGACCATAGAATGATAGAACCGGGAAGCACGAAGGAACGAGACTTTGTTTTGGATGGCTGTTTCGCTGTGTAAGCAGTAACCGGTAACGAAGACACGGGAAGCTTCAGGTTAGCCTGTAGCTTTTCTCAAGAAAGTGGGGGCCAGTGGTCCGCTGTGATTGGACACAATCTGGTCCCGAAACAATTTATCTTCCTTGTTGCACGAAAACTCGATCTAAAATAAAAGGACACGCCAGCACAAATCTGCGCTACTTATTCTTCAAAAGGACGTATATCTCAATGCACTGCATGGATATGGATTGAATTTAGTTATGAATACAAAAATAAAGTGAGGTAATGCAGCTTTAATGTGATTTGGGTTCAAGGCAATTGACATTTTTTGGTCCTGGGATCTGCTTTAGCCACTCTTCCAGTTTGGGGGGGTACTGCCCTGAGTGGAACAATGACCACGGGCCCCACTGATACTTTCACTTTCCAGGCCTTCTCAAGGTCTTTTCTGGGTTCGTGGTATTTCTCTTGGTTCTTCATCATGTGGTATTGCTACTGTATGTCAATCACAGCGGCTTTCTTATACTTTTTGTCCACCTACTACAATGTCTGCTTGCTTTGCCCTTTCCATTCTCTCCGTCTCTGTCTTTTCTCCACACAAAAGTGAGAGACCACAATAAACAAAAGGATCTGTAATTATAATGACTGAAAATTAGTGCTTGAAGTAGTAGCATATTTAAATGGAATGGTGTGGAAATGAGGTTATGTGACAATTCTTTTCTAAAACTCTTGACATTATTTAGTGTGTATATATATATATATATATATATATATATATATTATATATATATATATATATATATATATATATATATTAGATTTAATGTATGTAGATGTTGTATTTAGATAGAATCAAAATGTACCCAAAAAAGCACTCATACTTGGTTTTATTTATTGTCTTTTTTTTTTTTTTTTACAGTGCCAGCGTTGTGCACCCCTTTTTAATGACAAGCCTTTTAAATCTGGTAATCAACTTGAGCCAATGAACTGCCGGCCTTGTCAATGCTTTGGACATTCCTTCTCCTGTCATTATGATCCTCAAGCTGATGACCACCCTGATGACCGTTACCGTGGTGGAGGAGGTGTTTGTGATTACTGCATGCATAACACCACAGGTAATTAGCGACATTTACCTCATAAACTTGTCTTAAAATGGTTTGCTTTTATAATTTGCTTGTATTCATTTGCTCTTAGGCAGAAATTGTGACATGTGTGCAAGTGAGTTTTTCAGGAATGACGGGTCTAATCCATCTTTCATTCATGTATGCAAGCCTTGCAACTGTAACACTGCTGGTACAGTCAACCAAAGCAGAATTTGCTCACAAGTATGTTTATTAAAGGTCAACAAATACATATATATGTAGCTCTTTTTTCTAATCATTGTCTCTTACATGTAGGTTGGAGGGCAGTGTCCTTGCAAATATGCTGTAACAGGCCGGCAATGCACAACCTGCTTGCCTGGTTGGTATGGACTTGACTCATCAAATCCAAGGGGCTGTATTCAATGTAACTGCAGTGAGAGTGGCTCCATGAGTATCGCAACAGATGGAGACCTCAACTGCAATCAGTCCACAGGGCAGTGTCCTTGTAAACCTCATGTTACAGGTATATGAATATTTACATATATATACATATCATTATATATATATATTGGTGCTGTCAAACAATTACAATATTTATTTGATTAATTAATTATTTTAATCAATTAATTAAATGATTAGTTGATAAGCTTAGATAAGATAAACTTTATTGATTCCACAATGGAGAAATGTTCATGTCACATTTGGAATAGATATAATCACTCAGATAGTGCAGAAAAGACAAGAAGTGTGCATTCATGTTAAAGGTTAAAAATATAGTCTGTGCAGGATATATTATGTACAATAAAAAGTGGCAATAGCATTAACTGGCCTTAAAGCCTGTGTCCCTAATCTAGGATTATGACAAATTTTGTCAACTATAAGGAGTGCCATATCTTGATCATTGAAGGTCTTTGAAAATAATACAGTTCCATATGGCCACCGACCAGTGCAAAAAGATTATACAAATTGGATCAGTGATTTTGTTTCTATCCCAAATTTTGTTTTATACTGAAGCTATTTCACATTGACTGTTGATAGTATTCCCTTATCTAAAAACGCTCTCAAACTACAGCGTTTTGAAATTTTCTGACATGGCCACCACCTTGATGATGTCACAATATACAAATTAGAAAACTAATCAACTTCCATCCCAAATTTTGCTTCATACTGAAGATAGTTCTCATTTACAGTATGCCTTTATCTCAAGCCACTTTAAAGTTACAATCTTTATTAAAATTGTAAATGTTCTTGAAAAAACATGTTTTTGCTATTGTTATTTCTACTGAAGTTTAGTTTGTTTATGCTGTACACATTTTATATTTTATCATATATATATATATATATATATGTATATATATGTATATTAGAGGTGCACCGATCGATCGGTAGCCGATTATAATCGGCCTATCACGGCTTACTTTGCGTGATCGGTGAAATGTGCCTATCACAAAGACCGATCAAATGATACTGTATGAGGGTTTGTGCGCACAATAGGGCTGGGATAAACGATTATTTTTTAAACGATTAATCTAGCGATTATTTTTTTCGATGCATCGATTAATCTAACGATTATTTTTTTCGCTTCGATTCAATTTCGATTCGATTCGATTCTCGATTATCTCCCCATTAATTGACTAATATTGATGTATACATGTTGATTTAAATATTTTAATGAAAAAAACATGAATTCCTTTACAAAAAATATTTATTGCTTGCTCTTAAAATTCAAAAATAAGACATTCTTAGAGGTAGCATAAAACCTTAAAGCCTTGAAAACACAGCTTACTGAAAAAAGTGCATCTTATCATTCTTGAAACAAACATTTGATGCTTAGCATTCAATAAAAATATGAAAAAGTTCAGCCAAATACTTGTGTAGAGCAACTAAAAGAAAACATTAACCAATGTAAACTTGAAGGCTTTAAGCTAAACAAAGAGTGCTTTTCCAGCAAAAACAGTGGGAGCCATCAGCCTGTCATGGCGTCCTTCCTGAACCAACAGAGTTTAACATTTAAGTTGAAGACACATAGGCCTATATTACTGAAGTCCATTAATTAAAGTGCATCTCTTAAATTCTTCATTCATATAAAAATAACAGTCAAAACTCTGCCACTCACCTTTTTCTTAAACTCAAAATTCAAAAATAAAATTCAAGTAAGAGTGTACAAGAGAAAAACAATGCATTGTGTAGCAAATAAAAAGGTCAACCAGTCATCCTTTCTTTTAGAGTTACTGAAAGAATACAGTAGAAAAGTCATCTCAGAGGACTTAAAACAACATTGAAGTCACCAACACAGATCAGAGAATCAATCAACAGTTAAACGCATTAAGGATATTGAACACATGTTGAAAAATGTCCATATACGGCGGGCATGACAGTGAATAATACATGTAGGGGCTATTACGGGCGCCAATATTCCGTTTGATACAAAGAAAGACAGACTAGTTGTAAGCTGTAGAGTTGCCACAGGACGCGTCATCAGCCTACGTCAGCAGCCGCGGACTGCTATGAAAACATTAGCTTTGTGGTTTCACAGGCGCAGTTGACTGCTTAAACTAAACTTTGCACGAAACTTTGACTCTTAAAACCCACATGTGACAAAACGGAACCATCAACATCTCGCCTCAAATTGCATTAAAAGTGACATTCGTGTCTGAATTCGTTCGTATTTTAACTTTTAAAGAAATTCACGGTCCGCCATCTTGGTTTGCTTCGGCTGCCGTGAGACGCGCATGCGCAGGTTTGCATTACATCATAAACAGCTGAGGCTGTGCATCTCTTCAAGGCAATGTATCTCAGCGTTACACCAGCTTGCACTTCTCTAACACGGCACTCGCATTGCTACCGCTCGCCGCCATCTTTGTTTTGTGTGTGACGCACCAACGCGCATATTATACGTCGGTGTATTTTTTGCGTCGACGTCACCGATTACGTCGACGCGTTGTCCCAGCCCTAGCGCACAAGTTACGTTCTCTCGTCAAAACTGCGTAAACAAGAAACTCATGCAGCTATTAGTAACTGAGATTCTATAGCGGCAACAACCACACAGTAATGATGTAAGAAATAACATGAAATATGCACGAAAGTTATGGAATTTATTCCCCTCTGCCAACAGCGCTTGTCTGTTGCGGAAAGCGCTGAGTTCAAACAGCTCATGTCCACTGCTTCAATATGCCATCGTGGAGATATCTGACTGATGTCTGCCTGCCGCAGCTTTACCAAACTGTATATTCTCACATTGACACTCCAGAGCATGGATCTATTATAATAACGAGCCAGAGTCACACCGTGCAGGCACAGCACACCGAACACACTCAGCAGCGAGACGCTACCGTCAGGCAGAAACACCCCGTGTCATGAGTTTGCATGTTATGTTCACAGAAATATTGAATTAAGATGAGTGTAGTGGTAGTACAGACAGTCCTACAGTGTCGCAGATTTAGCGTTACTTACTACATAGTTGCGCATTGGAAAATAAAAGCCGCTTCCCTCCTTTGGCCAAAGCAGCGTCTTTCCTCTGCGCTCCATGCACAAGTGTAGACAGTGAGAGTTTAGCGCAGCGGGACTATTAAGGATGATAAACGTAATAAACCCCTGCAAATGCTGAGATGCTAATCTTACTGAAGAAAAAACATTGCCTTAACTATCTCTTCTTAATCAGTTCATAAATGCAGCATGTACAGTAATGCTGTATTTCATTGCATTTTTTTCTATGTATCTCAATGCTCTGAAACGTATACTTGTGGTTCCCAACCTTTTGTCTTGAGTACCCCATAGGCATTTTATTTATACTAGTACCTTGATGGTTTTGAAAGATTAGTTATAAAGTGAATAACAAGTCCTATTCATTTATCACTAATATTTTCAATATTTGATTGGATCGGCAATGATCGGTATCGGCCGATCAAAATTTTAGTGATCGGTGATCGGCCAAAAAAATCCTGATTGATGCACCTCAAAAAAAAAAAAAAAAAATTATATATATATATATATATAATATATATATATAATATATATATATATTTAAACCTACTCTTAATTATAAATTATAAGAAATGTTGCTACTCAGAAACAAAATTTGTCCTTGAAGAAGTCAGGCTCAGGATTTTTATTCACTTGCCCTGCATAGCTATATGTCATAGTTAACTTGCAATTAGTTGCAATTAATCACACTTGTTTTCCTCTTTTAAATGTCCCATGATTTGAAAAGTCTTTGGATGAGGCAAAAATATTACATCCCCTCCAAAAAGGCAGTATTTGGATTGGCTGCCCACATCAAGATTTACTTTTAACCATGAGATCATGTGCTGTCCAAAATATCGCGTTTGTAACGCGTTAAATCAATATTAACACTGTATTTTTGTTTTATTGCGCTATTCATTTGTTTGACTTACTTCACTTTTTCTTCCCTTTTTTTGCTCTGGCCACTGTTTGTAGCGTTTTCATTAAAAAACAATTGCACACTGTAAGCCTATTCACTTTTCCATGTAGATAAGAGTATTAAAATGATAATTCAAGGGACATAAAGAATAGATACAAATTTGCAATTAAAGTGAATTACAAATTTTAAGAATTGCATTGGCTTTAAATGTTGATATAAAAGAAGTCATTTTATGATTTCTACGGGTAAGTCCCTTCCCTTCTCTTAGCTATAGCTCAAAATCCACGATGCCGTCCACGTTAACCAATCAAGTGATGCCAAGAGCTGTCAATCATCGGCGCTGATGCTCGTAGCTGCGCGCATGCTCAGTTGTTTGTTTTCACGAAGCCTCCGAATCAAGCCTCCATTAGGCTCTGGAACTACATGAAAACTGAACAAAGAATTCTGAACATCCGCGCTGAGTTACTCATTTATAAACTGAACCTATATCCATAATTATTTATAAACTGAACCTATATCCATAATCATTTATATACTGAACCTATATCCATAATCATTTATATACTGAACCTATATCCATAATCATTTAGGGAGCTTGGGTCTTTTTTTTCAAATCATGTACCTCTCTCTCTTTTTTCTGACAAACTCCAGACAATCACTTTAATCGCGAGTTAACTATGACTTTCATGCGATTAATCGCCACACAAAAAATTGCAGTGATATTTATATTTATACATTTATTTATTTATCTATAGTATATGAGTTTGTATGTATGTATGTGCAGCATATCTTTTTGAAGCATGTTTATTGGTTGTTCCCACAGGTATTTTACAGAAATGAGATTTGATTATAGCAATTTATTACTGCCAAGCTAATACTTTGAGCAGTGCAATGGCAGGCACACTTCAGAAGGACAAAATTGAAATGTGCACTCAGACACACTCACACACACGTGTACAACAACATGCACAGCCATAACAAGGTGGGAGATGCCGGTGTGTGCATAATAGTGTTTGAAATGGTGATGCATGAGCCTGTTAACCAGCTGGCTACTGATAAAAGAGCTGGGCCATGTCCGGAAAACACACACTCATAACCACACGTGCAGTCATAACACCCTTCTTTATTTTCAACAGAAGCAAATACACAGTATTGTGCTTTTTTCTCACATGTTTCATAGCACTCCAAATGGTTTATACTGTCTAAGAAATGACTGTTAATTTGCTTGAACATACTTTGCTGTAGTAATTGGTATTAGTAGTTGCGATTGTATTATCTAGAAAACTATTGTAGATTCTAGTATAATGTTAGAATAATGAGTAGTAATGAACATGTTTTTTATATATATCTGTAATTCACACTTCTATCTTGGGCCACACACACACACACGTGCGCGCACACACACCTGCTTCTGTTCTCTAATATATGAGCCATGGACAGAAATACATTCATATCTATAAAATCGTTAAAGTGGGCAGACTAGGGGAAATGCCAAGTGTCTGGCCTACTCTACATGTGAGACATACATCTGGGGACACACACATAGCAAGGTGGCTGATGTGAATGTGCGTGCAGCTGCATATAACCCACACACCCTCAATAAATGGCTGCTGTGACGGTGTTGCCCCAAGGCATCCATTTAGGGACAGATTGCCTGTCATGGAATACGTATGGCATATTCAAATAAGCTTGGTTCTCTTGGACTGCATATCATAATTTAACTAGTCTCATGGCCAAGTTGTGTTGCTGGTAAGGCCAAATTATTGTCTTTAAAGAAGCTATACCGGATATTTTTTTCTAAGTAGTTGATAAAAATGCTTATTACTACATACAAGTTGTATTATAATCCGTAATTTAATTGAAAACTTGAGGTAATTGATTCAGCTGTGTAAGAATTACAAGCAGTGAAAAGTGCTGAGTAGAGTCTGAGCGGGCCGCTCGTTCTCCTCCGCTCACAGAACGAGCAGCGAACAGCCTGCGTCCTCTAGCCCCTACAGCGCTGCTCAACACCAGGGATTCGACTTCAAAATTCTAATATAATTCTAAAAAAAAAAATATATATATATATATATATATATATATATATATATACATTCGAACACATATTAGACAGCCCTTACAATTCGAAATGTATTCAATAACTGCAAATAAAATAGTTAGCTCCCAAGGGTTCCACTGGGATGTGCTAAGGTTAATATAATACATCCATGGCTAAGGCAGGTAACAGCTAAGCTAGCTAGCTCCCTGGAACTACATGTTAATGGTTACTTCCGGGTTTTTCGCGATCGCTTTTTGTCACATTAAAATAGTAATTTGGTCATGAAAACGATAACAAGAAATTCTGAAAAAGTCCATGCATGAGTGTTAAGGATGTATACATAGTTCCCACAGACCAATGAATGTCACATGACCTCCTCGGAGACGCCATCTTTGATGGCACGCTGCTGTGTTTGTGCATTCCATTAAACAGAAGAATGAGAATAAATGTAGATATTCAAACGCAAATTGGAAAAAAAGGGCAACTTTTGAGCAAATAATTGTATATTAATACAATGGCACCACAGTTTAACGTGCTACGGACATGTTTTACATATTTGATCAAATTATGCAGCAAAAATTAACAAGCAATGCAAACATTTCTCAAAAACTTTAGATTTAATACCAGTTGGAGCTCCATTTAATTATTTTAATTATATTAACAATTAATTTAATTAATGCTAATGCCACACGGACACTCTGGATTGCTGTTATTGTTTATTTCCGCGTTTTTGACCGTATGTTTTGGTGAATGGTGGGCAACTGATTTTTCCAGGCGTAAAGAGCAGTTTATTTTATGACACAGATCTTTTTACAGAAGCAATGCTGTTTGTGAACATTGTTTTAGCCCACCATAGAACTATTATTATCTATTTAATACATTTACGTTGCCCTCGAGAGCCTCGGACGCGACACCGATCCTCCTCATAATAAAGTAATCTAAATAATGAAACTCTCAAGTTACCAGATATCAGCATACACAAGTTAGTACTGAGTAAATTACTACACATACACGTCAACACATAAGATACGATACGCACCTGACACAAAGTGCTCCGAGCATATTCTTGCGTGTTTTGAGGGAGTTTCTTGCCTGTTTATCTTCGCAAGCCATAACCTCCGTGGTTGTTCTGACAAAAGCTTAGTCTTCTCACATTCATGAAGTCTAATGATGGGTATACTGTAAAATCCAAGTTTAACAGAACCTCCGGCACGATTTGAACATCCATTGACCCAGCAGGAGATGACCATTTTCAACTTTATCACGACATTAACACGTTTCAGCTTCTTTTTCTATTGTTTTGCCCACAGCATGCCAACACAAATGGCGCCGGGTCGGCAAATCCCCGTATGTAGTGACGTCATGTGGGAACTATGTATATGTATACTGTATTGTCCGATTAACATTTAATGGTGTTGATTGATAGATATGTAGTTGTTTATTGAGCGTGGCTAGCTCCGCTAGCTTCTCACGTTGTACTTGCGGAGTAATGGCAGTATTTTACACACCTGAATTACAAACAGAGATTGCATTGTCAAAGGGCAGCGGTCATTATTGGTTTGAGAGTTCTGTTATCAAGAAAAAATGATCGGTAGAATTACGTTCACGTCAATGGAGTGTTCTGCTGCTGCTGTGAGGAGCTGTATAATAAATTATGATTAAATACTCGAATATATTCTAATGTTTTAATGAATAAATTTGGATGCGAAACTAGCCGTATTCTTTTACCTATATATTGTGTTAGCAGTGCGTTGCTTTAGTACCATTTCATCGGTGATTGTTGTACAGCTTACAAGAAGTTGTGCTAATGCTAATGTTAGCATACATGTCAGATCGCAAATTGAGCTAGATGGTTCTGTGTTATGAGAGCGAAGGGGAAATGAGAAGCCATTGAGCGAGTTGGGGGGCGGTGCTAAACATTCAAACCTTGCATAAACGGGTATAGCGCCTTTAATTTATTGAACTTCCTTTGTACAACAAACTACTCCACACGTATTTCACATCAAACAAAAACCTTCAAACCAATGAAAAAATAATGTAGCAAATTATGTTGCTGTCATTTCATTGTTTGTATTTGTACTCTCGTCTAAACATCAGACTAAATCTTGTTTATTGTTTTCTAAGAAAAATCTCTCTTGTCCTCCCTGTAGGTCTGTCCTGTGACCAATGTGAGTATGGTTACTGGAACTTGTCCCATCCATATGGCTGTGTCCCATGCGACTGTGACCCATCAGGTTCTTTAAGTCCATTCTGTGAGCCCAAAAGGGGGCAGTGTGAGTGTAAACCTGGTGTGGGGGGCCGCCGCTGTGGCTCATGTGCAGACGGTTCATTTGCTTTAGAATTGGGCAAATATTGTTCTCCTTGCAACTGCTCAGAAAAAGGAACTGTAATTGGAACAATCTGTGATCCTCACACAGGACAGTGCGTTTGTAAGGCAAGAAAGCATAATCCTATAACTGTAAATTAAAATAAAGCATTTATAATCAATATAAATGCACGCAAATAAGAATGTGTTTATTTTAGGAGAATGTTTTTGGACAACATTGTGATACATGCAAGGCTGGCTACCACACTTTGGACCGTCGAAACTCCTTTGGGTGTCTTTCCTGTGTATGTGACTTAAGTGGCACTCTTCCTGGGGCTACCTGCGATACCCTCACAGGCCAGTGTCCTTGTAGAGAAGGAGTGGAGGGACTACAGTGCAACAGTTGTGCCCCTAACTTCTACAACTTCACAGACAGTAAGAAATGTTTAAAATCTATTGTCGCTATTTTACGTTATCCAAGCTGATAATTGTCCTTTACTTCAGGTAGCTTGTCCTACAACTGTGTGCCTTGTAGATGTGACCCCAGTGGGACACTCGCTGGATCCGTGTGTGATAGTACTACAGGCCAATGTGTGTGTTTGTCCACACGCCATGGAAAGAACTGTAACAGCTGTAAACCGGGTCAGACTTTTTTAAGTGAATCATATACAAGAAATGTATTTTTAGTAGTAGTAGTAGCACCAAATTGTCATTTCCCCCCTAAATTTTTTGTAACTTATTAAAAGGTATGAGTCAAAGCTAAAACTTATGATGTTCTGAGTTAAAAACAGTCATTACATACTGTATTGGTTCTCAGGAGCTAACACATTTTCCTTGATCGGCACTGATGTTATATTTTCGTTCCTTTCCAGGGTTTTACCTGGCACCAAATGACAGTGTATGTGTGAAGTGTGGTTGCCACCCCGTTGGATCAGTGCAGAGTGCTTGTGAGAGCCACACAGGGCAGTGTGTATGCTCACATCCCTCTGTAGGAGGGAGGCAATGTGACCAGTGTCTGGACATGTACTTTGGATTCAACCCTGGTCTGGGCAGGTGAATGCTATACCTTTTTTTCCCCTTCACTTACCTTTTCAACATACTTTAGCATTATGTATATATGCATGGGTCATATGTATAGCAAAATATATGAGTAGAGTTTAAGACAAAAGTTACGCATTTTTGTTGAGGGAATGAGTGAGTTCTCAATGTTCTTGTGAAATAGGAAATATCCGTGTAATTTACCAAACTGGCTTTTCACACCATAATGTAGATACTACATTTTGTAGTGGATCCCTTGTATTGTAAATGTATTTGTTTTTTAACTATCCATAAGCGAAAGTCCCAATTCCTATTATGTGCATAGAGGAATGAGTCAGGATGGACATGTAACAACAGTGTGATAGCGGTTAGAGGTGTGAGGTAGCTGGCCGGATAATCACCCACTGGCTGGCCTCACTGAGGGTAACACCACACCATTGACCTAGTACTCTCTTTCAGGAGAAAAAGAATGTTTTCTGCATTGTAATACTGTAGATTTATCACAAATCAGAGATACAGAAAAATCAGGATATTCATATGACTCAAGCAACATTTATTGGTTGTTTATCAGTTTCCTAATTAAATTAGTCAAAAGATATACTTTTTTGTTTTACTGTGTTAATTACTATGGAAATATTCCTCATTTAATTTAATCCTTGCATTTTTTCATGCGAAGATGCCAGCCATGTGCATGTGATCCAGTCGGTAGCCTCAATGGTTCTTGCCACTCCGAGTCGGGCATGTGCATCTGTAAGTTGTTGGTAACAGGAGAAAGGTGTGATGTATGCCAACCTGGATCACATTATCTGGAGGCAGAAAACCCTTATGGCTGCAGCAAGTGTAAGTTTTAAATTATGACATGTACTGTGCAGACTTTTTTACATTATTGAATCTGTTTATTTTTACTTTGTCTTTGCAGCCCCCTCACAACAGCCTCCACCAATAGCTACCGCTCTTAATTATTCCACTATTTGGCTTACATGGCTTTCACCTGACTCTCCATACTCAAACAAACTTAACTACACACTTATCAGAGATGGGCAGTTGCAGCACACCATCCAAAGTCATTATCCATTTAGTGAGTATCCACCTCAAGGCAATAAAATCCATTGCACCTGGTATTTTATTGTTGTATACCTAAACACTGTTATATCCTTTGAAGGAAAAGAATCTTATGAAGACACAGATTTGTCTCCTTACACTAACTACACTTACTGGCTCATAACTGCCAATGTGGCAGGGTCAACAACAAGTGTGTCTGTCTCATGCCAGACCTTGGGTGCACCTCCTTCTCCAGATGAGCTTAAATTGAAGCTCGTTGGAAGACCAGGCCCTACAAGCGCACACTTCACCTGGAGTGTACCATCCAATGAAACAGGCCCAGTGGAATGGTAAGGTTTGCTATGACCTAAAACAAAATACATTTTAAAGCATGAAAGTTCAACAATTAACACATTTGCAATAGTGTAATATTGATTACACATAAAAGTACATATACAGTGCCTTGCGAAAGTATTCGGCCCCCTTGAACCTTTCAAACTTTTTGCCTCATTTCAGGCTTCAAACATAAAGATATAAAAAAATTATTTTTGGTCAAGAATCAACAACAAGTGGGACACAATCGTGAAGTGGAACGAAATTTATTGGATAATTTAAACTTTTTTAACAAATAAAAAACTGAAAAGTGGGGCGTGCAATATTATTCGGCCCCCTTGCGGTAATACTTTGTAGCGCCACCTTTTGCTGCAATTACAGCTGCAAGTCGCTTGGGGCATGTCTCTATCAGTTTTGCACATCGAGAGACTGGAATTCTTGCCCATTCTTCCTTGCAAAACAGCTCGAGCTCAGTGAAGTTGGATGGAGAGCGTTTGTGAACAGCAGTCTTCAGCTCTTTCCACAGATTCTCGATTGGATTCAGGTCTGGACTTTGACTTGGCCATTCTAACACCTGGATACGTCTATTTGTGAACCATTCCATTGTAGATTTGGCTTTATGTTTTGGATCATTGTCCTGTTGGAAGATAAATCTCCGTCCCAGTCTCAGGTCTTTTGCAGACTCCAATGGTGTAGGTTTGGTTCCAATCTTGGTGGGGACATTCACTACGACCTGAGTCTACACCCATTGACACGGGGTCCAGAGTTTCTCCCCCAGAATTTGTTGTATAATCACACACTATATTTGCAATAGTGTGTTGCCTTCTATACTAAACTCAGCTGTAGACTGAATGAGAAGCAGTTAAGGATTTTTTCTAATAGTTAACACAAAATCAATTGGATCAGAGCTTCTGAGTTTTGTGTTGCGTTCATTCTATACTGACTTAAACCTAATCCAAATCTACATAATAGCCCTCACCTGAGGCTCTAACAGTTCAGGAACTGCTCTCGATACTTGAAATAAATCATGCTCTGATCTTTCAATTTCCTATAATAAATAAAAACAGGAGAAAATATTGAATTAGAATCTACAGTGAGTATCTCACTACATTGTTTGACATATACAATCAATCTCTAAAAACAATTCATAGTCCCATGCATACCTACAAAATTCCAACCTCACCTGATGCACTGAAGGGCCTGTTGCTTCTACCTCAACATTCCCTATATTGTTCTCTCTTGTTGGTTGAGTTTCCTATGTATGTTAACAGAAGATTAATCATCACAATTCATAATTTGCTATTACTTGTGCTTTCTCTTACTTACTTTCCAACTGTTAAAAAAGCTCCTGATATCTTTTATCTTTTTTTGTGGAGGTGGCATTTTTTCTAAATTATATAAGAAGGTATAGAAAATCAAAAACAGACATTCATATACATGAACTGCAGAATCATTTATATAACTTGGCCAATGTCAAAAGTTACATAGTATTTCTCAATACAATGAGTTAACAAGAGTTTGGCAATAAGTAACAGTGTGGATTTTTCTATATTTTCTTTTTTTTATTCCACTCTCAACCCAAAAAGGCAAGTAATGACTCACAGGGCTCTCAAGTATGCAAAATAAAAACTTAAATGACCTGTTGTGGTGTGTTTTGCGCACAACCAGCATGCATCGTTAACGCAATGGAAAATTTAGGTATCCGAGCTTTAATTTCGGGGGCGCTGGTTGCGCTTTGGGAAGAGTTAGGGGAGAGACATGTCAGAGACACAGGGGAGAAACGCGGGAGATACGAGGGAGACCCGCACTTGCAACATGGTTCTGTCTGCATATGGTCCGAGCTCGGTACCATGTTAGAGCTGTGTTTTCACTGAGCGCCGCGGCTGTCATTACAAAGCGGCAGCAGCTGCACCAGGACGTGCACATTCGAGTGCATCTCTTGAATGTGCTTAGAGCAAATAACAGCAAGTGCCCGCTGTCACACATTTCACAGAAATTACATTATCAGCAGATAAAGGTTGTAAATCGTGGATCCGTGGAATATTTTTATCCCTAGTTTATCCTGATTCACACAACACACCCACTTATACATTTTGTATAGTAAGAGCACAATAAGTATTTTTTCAGCCTTTCAACCAACCTGTTTCTTTATTGGAGCCAGTTCTGTTCTGTCTCTGTGCCGTGTGAGCTCCTCGGAACATTAAACAGTGCGCTGACAGATTAGAAATAACGTAAGTACTTTGAATGGTAATAGATCTACAGTACTTTCCTCTGATTACTCACGTGCTACAACGCTCAGGGAACGAAAAAAAAACACTTGCTTCACGCTGGCTAACTTTTAAAAATTAAACAGTCGCTCAGTGCTTCAGTTTGGCGCTGAAGAAGACAGCCAATCACTGCAGAGAACGGAACGGGTCACGGGCTGCTGCTGCTGCTGTTGCTCTGGAGGCGAGGAGGAGGCGCGACGTATGCACAAACGGAAGACATGTGTCCCGGACCGTCCGGGTCACGGGACATCATGTCATTTTGGTGGGGACTTTTTAGTCCTCACCAAATATTGGTGGGGACATGTCCCCATGGTCCCCACGCAAACCTACGCCCTTGGCAGACTCCAACAGGTTTTCTTCCAGAATGGTCGTGTATTTGGCTCCATCCATCTTCCCATCAATTTTAGCCAGCTTCCCTGTCCCTGCTGAAGAAAAGCAGGCCCAAACCATGATGCTGCCACCACCATGTTTGACAGTGGGGATGGTGTGTTCAGGGTGATGAGCCAAACATATCGTTTTGCATTGTGGCCAAAAAGTTCGATTTTGGTTTCATCTGACCAGAGCACCTTCTTCCACATGTTTGCCACAAGCCACCTGGGAGACACACCAAACTTTAAACGAGACTTTTTATGGATATCTTTGAGAAATGGCTTTCTTCTTGCCACTCTTCCATGAAGGCCAGATTTGTGCAGTACACGACTGATTGTTGTCCTATGGACAGACTCTCCCACCTCAGCTGTAGTTATCTGCAGTTCATCCAGAGTGATCATGGGCCTCTTGGCTGCATCTCTGATCAGTCTTCTCCTTGTTTGAGATGAAAGTTCGGAGGAACGGCCGGGTCTTGGTAGATTTGCAGTGGTTTGATACTCCTTCCATTTCAATATAATTGCTTGCACAGTCCTCCTTGAGATGTTTAAAGCTTGGGAAATCTTTTTGTATCCAAATCCGGCTTTAAACTTCTCCACAACAGTATCTCGGACCTGCCTGGTGTGTTCCTTTGTCTTCATGGTTCTCTCTGTGCTTTAAACAGAACCCTGAGACTACTTATTCTTCTTCTTCTGTCGATTATTGGCGGGTGGCAACCAGCAGCTTAGGTGCATACCGCCACCTACTGTACCGTGTGTGTCTCGGGAAGCTGGTTACTTCAGGTTACATTCTGATTGTGCATAGCTTACCACCCCGGAGGGGGGCAAACCAAACAACAAAAACAAAAAAAAACAACAAACTATACTCTGTGAAACTATACTCTGTGAAAGAGCTCTGCCCCCTTTAGGAACCCCATCACTGCCCTTATACTCCTACTGTCCCCTCTACCCAGGATACCTTGTAGACTCCAAGCCCTCTCCAGCTCATACATCCTATCCCTCAGAATCCTCCTCTGCCTTTCATACTTCCTACATTCCATCAGCACATGCTCCACGCTCTCTGGCACATCACACATATCACAATTCTCAGACTCTACTTTTCCCATTAAAAATAACGTTTTCCTAAAACCCGTGTGCCCTAATCTTAATCTCGAATGCACCACCTCTTCCTTCCTACCTTTCCCTTTACAACCTTCCATCCTGCCGGCTTTTTGAATACTATACAGATGTCTCCCTTTACCATCTGAGTCCCACATATTCTGCCACACACGTCGAACTGCTTCAGTAATCAAGGATTTTGCCTCTCCTTTACCTGCTGGAATCCTCACAATGTCCTCATCTGGTAACTTTAGTGCCTTTTTTGCTATTCTATCTACTGTTTCATTGCCAGCTATGCCTATATGAGCAGGGATCCAACAAAAACACACCACCAAGCCAGACCTCTGTGCCCTTAGCAATGCAAGGCGAACTTCTAGTAATAAGTCATCTCGGCAGGTTTCCTTAGCATGGAGACTTTCCAATGCAGCCGCTGAATCTGAGCAAATAACCACTCTCTCAGGCCGGACCTCCTCTACCCACTGTAGAGCTAGAATGATGGCCGTTATCTCAGCTGTGAACACTGACATGTTATTAGGAATCCTTTTACCAATCGACACATCAAACTCCGGAATATACACACCAGCCCCAACACGCCCTGTATTTGGATCTTTTGATCCATCTGTGTATATCTCCAAATAACTGTAATAACTCTTCCTTACATACTCTTCAGCAAGTGCCGCACCATTCGTCTCATTCCAACATCTCCTTCTCTCGATCAAATTAACATTCACATTAGGCAGGGGTAAGATCCAAGGGGGAACATCACCCCACACCAGCGCAGGGCCAACCTCCAACTCATTTACCCCAAACTGCCGAGCTGTGTTGTCAATAGTCCACCCAAAGCCTTTACATTTCTGTGGCCGTAAATACTCCCAACAATTCTTCAACACACTGTTTGCAAGCTGCTCTGTCCCCGACCCTTTCAACTTTACCCAAAATACAAGTGATAATTTGATTCTTCTCAGACTCAATGGCATCTCACCTGCTTCCACCAGCAACGCATTTATAGGTGTTGTCCTCATTGCACCAATGCTGATCCGAAGAGCTCTATACTGGATCCTGTCTATTTTTGCCAGCACACTACCCGCCGCCGCTCCATATACGATGCACCCATAATCAAGACTTGCCCTAATCAGTGCTCTGTATATACCCAGCAGTGACTGTTTATCCGCTCCCCAGTCATAGCTTGAGACCGCCCTCATGAGGTTCAGCACCTTCTTACATTTCGTCTCAACCTTATCTACATGAGTTCTCCAGAGGCACTTTTCATCAAACCATAGGCCCAAG